GCTTACAGATAAGATAGATAAGACTCCTAGATAAGACTAACTAAACTGCTTACAGATAAGATAGATAAGACTCCTAGATAAGACTCCCTACTCAAGAAGGATAAAAACTCCCTAAGATAAATCAAACTCTATACTAATCCTTATTGGAACAGATAAGATAAGAGTAAGAAAGCAGATAAGATAAGGATAAGGTAAGATGAACTGTGGATAGCTAGATAATCTGATGAGGGTCCCATGTTACTGCTGCTGCYGGCGGCAGTACTTCTTCCCCACGAATGCGTCCATAACATATTCCTTCTCCATTTTTTCCTGATTTCAATGATCAACCCAAGATCAGACACATAGGGTTCTAGATCCACCAAAAAATCCAAAAACTAATCCCTTTTGAAGTCTTCGATCAGCTCTCTATCTCACAATGCAGTCAGCTGATCTAGGGATGCATGGGAGAATCCCAAAAATCCTTAGAAAATGCTCTGATACCAAGTAGAAAATTCAGAAAATATAATCAGATTTATAACAGAAATGAAAGAGAAGAAGAAGAAGAAGAAGAAGAAAGGTTCCTTGGAGAGAACAGATGTGAGAAGCCAATGATAGATGTAGCCGCACCACAAGCCAATGATAGATCTGGTTGCCCCACTCATTAACTTATATATTCACTAATTAAAACGAAATACAATGTCTAATATGCCCTTAATAGGGCAGCTGCTGTCAATAACATAAAAGAAAACATTAAACTGTTGGGCCTTGGGCCCAATAACACTAATTTAAAACATAAAACATAAACTACTAAAACCTCAAAAAATGCCTAGGGATTCTAGCTGCTATCATCTATCATGTGGTTGGGTTTACCCATTTCTGACCACATTGGCAAATGTTTCCCTTTTGTAAATCCAAGCTAATAGGCAATCATCAAGATTGAGGCATCCAAGATTCAATGGGCTTAGCACCACCTCGTTGATTTATGTTCCAAGACAGAGAAAGAGAACCAAAATTTCTCATTGATTTATGTTCTTATGAATTCTAGTTGTCACTAGTTCTTTATTGTTATCTTTGTAGAAAAAAATGCATTTTCAAATATTCTAATTTTTACTTGCTGTAGGCCTTGATTTCTGTTTTTGGTCCAATTCATTCATGTAAAGAGATATTAGATAGTTTAAACCAATTCCTTCCGTCTTACATTGGCTGATGCATAAATCTTCCTTCCCCCTTTATTATATTTTGAGATATTATACTTTTAAGATTCACCAAAGTGATTTTTCTTATAAAAGCCATTGGTACATTAGTTAATCTTTTCGTGTTTACAAAAAAATCATCTACCTTGTTCTTAAGAGAGTGAATTTATTCTTTGGCATGAGGCTTTGCTGTTTGTTCTTCCCTTTCTCTGTATTTCATACATATGGAACTGCCAAAATTTTATCTTGATTCTTTTTCTTCCTGTTTAATTCATAATTTATAAAACTTGCATTTAGTGTGGATGGAATAATTGGCATTTCTACCTCATTGACTTATCAGGACTGATTTGCAGTTTCTTTGGCTTGCTGTTCATTTTTCGACCAATACTCGTTAAACAAGGTACAAGTATAAATAGTCCCTTCTTTTGTATATTTTGAAAACCATTTTGATTCGAGAAATTACCAGTGATATAATTCCAATTTTCAGTTCCTAGTTTACATGCTGAATTTTCTTTTTTTTTCCCCTCCATATGTTTCCTGATGTTTGTTTTATTTTTTTATGTTATGCTAATATGCTATACTATCCTGTTGATTTTAAGTGGTTCAACTTTTTTTTGATCAATTTCTAAGTGGTTCAACTTGTGGATTGTATGCTTTCCTTTTCTTTAAAAAATGGATTCTTCATCCATGTATACCAACGGCTTATTGGCATGAAACCATTTCTTAACATTTATGCACCTTTTCTCTTTGGGGCATTTTTTATAGGTAATCAGAGATTTTTTTTAACAATACACATATAATGATTTAAGAAGGGCTAGAGCCCCTAAAATCTGTACAACACACCACCCTCTATGTTCAAAATCTTTTAAAACTAGGACCTATTCTATAATGAGGATGTTAGTGTCCACTTAAAGCAGAGTAAAAGTTGTCCTTTTGTCATTTAAAATTCTGGAACTCCCTTTATTCCCAAATACACCAGCAAATGGCACATGAAGCCTTAACCCATAAGAGAACCCTCCTATAACCTTGACCAAAAAAAAAAAAAAAAAACTCCTATAACCATCTATAAGGATGACCATGGAGGGATAACCTTAGGAACAGTGGAGGAGAAATCCAAGAGTACAGGGAACCAAATAACTCCCACAAAGGAGTTGTTGAGGGACAAAATAAAACTAGTAGTTTACCTTTAAACATACAACAATTGTTTCAGGTAGGAAGGCTCTATTCTTAACATGGTCAACTGTAAGCACCTTCTCAAGAAAAACCATACACATGAAAGCCTCAATCTTGGGAGGGATGTCCCATCATGATTACAACTAGCAAGAGCCGCATTGAAGAGCAAAGTGTAAATTTGCCATTGGATTTCTTCTTCCAACTGATCCCTTCTCTCCAACCAGGAATGATAGGAGCAGCTTCAAGCTTTGGAAACAGGAGAAACATTCATTAATTTCCCCATTCAACAAGGAACTAACCCTTCTAAATATAGGAGACTGGACTCTACTAACCCACCATTTGAAGAAAAGAAATCTTTAATGGATTGACTGACCTGAGAAGAGACACTATAGTCTTGGACAAAACTCAAAAAAAAAAATGTCAAAACCACTCCAGTTGTCTTTGCCAAATCTGTCTCTTGCATTATCCTAGAATCCAACTCTAAAGGGCTTTTACTCTCGAAATTCCTCCATGATTCCTTTTTCAAAGGCTAACACCATAAGATCAGTTGAGCACTTTAAATGTCAATCCAAAATGAGCTTGTCCACATTAGCCACACCGATTTTCTTCCACATGGCTGACTCCTCCCTAGAATCTCCATAACCATTTCCCCAGGAGTGCCTTATTCATAATGCCTAATTCTCGAAACATGAACCACCCACTGCATTTGAATGACACAGGTCAAATATCTTTCTATATCCTCTTCCATCCACAATGGATGTAGGTGTTTTCCCATACCCTTCAAGTAATCTATGATAATCAAAAACATTGCTATAAACTGATGCATGACATGGCTGATTTTTCTAGGGGGGACTGCTGGGCTTGTGGGCTTCACTGGTTGGTATCTTGTGTAGTCCAATCTGAAAACCTCTCTAACTTTTGAAATTTCTCCTTCCTATTTTTGTTCTTTGTGAATCTGCACCATATAATTTACTGCATGCTTTTGATCCATAATTCTGCAATATTATTGTCACTTATTTCCATTTTAAATTTTTAAATGGTATTAGTAATTTACATTTAGTTAACAAGACAAGGATATTCAATCAGGCTAAATGCAGTTCAAAGAATTCATATGTTGATAGTATGTTGTGAATTTTTAGAGCTAATTCATTGCATTATCTACAATTATCCTTGATATTAAGAGGGTATCTGCAGTTAAGAGGGGTAATTCATGCCCTTCAGATGGATTTATGTTTCTTCTCTATTGGAATTCCACATACTTAGCATGGATCTATGCAGGAAAGTTAGCTGATGGCGAGAAATCAAGCAATACGTACAGCAGTAGAGAAGGCGAAATTATATATGCACTGTTAGTTGCCATGTTTTCATCAATAACTGGTGGAATTAGCTATTGCCTTATAAGAGCCGGAGCGAAGGCATCTGATCAACCTGTGTAAGATTATCCACTTGTATTTCTGTAATAGAAAATATTTTCATGCTACTGACAGGAAAAATAAAGAAGCTTGCATGCTAAAACTATCACTACATTTTGGCAGTATAGTCTAGTGTCTATACATTGAATCAGAGTTCTTCCAATGTCATTGTTTGTTATAAGCTTTCATCAACTTCTTGTAATTTTTTTTCCTTTTTCTTTTAATTCTCAGTAAAGTATCATATCTACTTTTAAAAAGAATAGCTGAACTGAAAGGATTTTTACTTGAACATGCATTTTATCTACCACTTACCATAGAGAACCAAGAATGTCCTGAAATTTCTTCCTTGTTCACAAAGTATAGTATACCTGCTTGAATATGCTTGATTGGTTTTGTAATGTGAATAATTACTGCAAAATTTGAGGAATTTGGTTATCTTATTATAGTTTCAATCCATTCACAGGGTTACTGTTTTCTCATTTGGCTTATTGGCTACTCCTGCTGCAGCAATTTGTACCTTTGTTCTGCAGGTATATTCACATTGTTGAAATTCAATATGGTAGTAATACATTAGCACCCTTACTTTCTCAAATAAATCAAGACCTGGATACTAAATGTGTTAGTTGTAGGTACAATAAAAAAATGCAACTAAACTGAACTACCCCTGCCCAAGCTATTTAAGGCTGTGTACATGCATCTGATTAATCTAATCTTGCTATTCCACTCTTTTAATGGTTATATTTTGCATCAGATGAATCACCAGTTCTTGTCTGACTACAATGAAAACCCTTATTGGTCTTACATTGCCCTTTGTAGAAACATCAATTTGCACCAGACTATTCCTCTTTTTAGATGCAATTGATATCTAGACATGATAAAGCCTTCTCATTCCATTTCCCGGCTCTCTGTAAGAGTGCCCCAGTTTCTAATTTTATACATTCGTAGTTTTGCCACTTTATGCTTATTCTATGGAAGTGTTGTTTCAAAATGAATGTTCAAAGTCAAGCAGTTAGTGATTTATTTGTTATTTATTGACATTGAAGCTTGCAATGACAGTTGACGGTTGAAGATGTGATTAGTTTGTTTGTGAATTATGAATGTATTTTTTTCTTTCCTTAGCATGCTTTCTTACATCATCAACATGATAGAAGTCTCTAAATTCGAAAGCCTTATTTTACTTTACATGTAAGTTAAAAACTTTTTGATTTTGGTGGATCTGGAAAGGGGGATAACTAGTGGGGGCCCTGTGCGATGCATAGGATAATCAAAAAATTGATTAATTTTATTAATTGATAATCTAAAAGATGTCGGAGATTTTTTTCTTGTTTTTTGTTTTTTTTTTTTTTTTTTGGCAAAGTACAGAGAAGGCTTAAAAGTTGTTGCTTCATGGGGCTACAAACTGAGGGATCATCCCCCAAACCCATAAAGCCCCCCCCGTCCCCCCCAATCCTAATGCAATCTGGATTCAATGATAAGCCTCCGCTACAACCAACAGGTGACCTTACCAACCAACTAGTTGGCACTTTACAGGGGATGTTTAAAACTAAATTAATAAAAAAAGATAGAAAGAAAAAACTTGAATATGTTAAAAATCCTTAGTACAAATGTTGATATGAATAAATTACTTTTCAAAATTTTATGAATAAATTTCTGAATTGATATGAATAAACTTTTCAAAATTATTGATATGAATAAATTAACTTTCAAAAAAATTGAATTTATGATAATTAATTACTAAAAAATCAGTAAATTAGATTTTTTTTAAAATTAACTTTACCTAAATTAAATTACCAAAAACATGAAAATTAGTTTATGGAAATCACTATATTAAGATTTCCATATAAGTAACAAAAACCAATGAAAATTATCAATATTAAAATTCCTCAATGTTTTGTAGTTTAGGCTGCATTTGGAAGCGATGTAAAATTTACATCAGTTCAGTTTTGTAGGCGTTTGGAAGGAGCTTGTAATTATGATCGACGTAAAACTCCACTCTGGTTTAGATTTGTTGGTGTTTGGATGGATAGGAGTTTTACATCATGAATGAATGTACAACCTCATCAAGCATAAAGTTTTACATCGATAATCGATGTAAAAACTATCTCGATTTTATCGATGTAAAACTTTACACTTTTTACACTGGTTTTCAAAATGTAACAGTCACCTATATATATGGTTCAGTGTTAAACGTCATCAGTGTACTTTTACATTGATGACGTTGTACACCGGATCCAAACGAAGCCTTAATAATTACCAAAAACCAATGTAAATTACCAAAAATTAATTATGGAAATTATTAAAACTTTCTAATTTAATAATTTTCAAAAATATTAAATTTTCTAAATAGTTATGGAAATTATAAATATAGTTAAAATTCTTAGATAATTTTCCAATTTAATATTTAATAATTACCAAAAACCAATGTAAATGAAAATATCAATAAATAATTTTTATTACCAAAATTAATTTTCAAAATCAATAATTTTCAGAAATTACTTGAAAGTTATTGGAAATTACTAAAAATCACTAAAAATTACTTTTATGAAATATTCAAAGTAACTAATTATCTAAAAATAATTAGTTTCATAAATAATAATAATAATAAATTAATATTTAAATATCCAAAATTTTCAGTAAAATGTCATTAGTTATTAAGGTTTAATTAATTATTGATTGTTTAATAATTAATTAATTATTCAATGAATAAATTCATTTTCAAAAATATATGTATTTATGAATAATTAGTTACTAATAATATCAAAATAAATTGATTATTTTATTCATTTTAATTATCCTATACATTTAATGTTTGGGAAGTTTTACCTTTGTTATGGTAGTGAAATTAGAGGCAGGGTGAGTGGCCAAAGGCTAAGATACTGATGATGTGGCAAAATGATGGGCCTAGGTAGGATGAAGGCAAACCCGTACTGAACCCGGCTTGTTGTGTTTATTTTTATTATTTTAAAATTGAATTTAAATTAATAATTTTGACTTTATTAAATTTTAATTTATTTAGTAAATTGTTATTGATGTGTAATTTAAATTATGATATTATCATAAGCTTATTACTGTTTAAAATTTTTAATACTGTTAGAATTTGTTATTATAAATTAAGTATAATATTATTGTAATTAATTTTAACAATTATTATTATTAAAATTAAAAAAAAATTAATTTGTTTTAAATTTTCTTTTAGGTTAATCATTTTGAAATTGAAATTAAAATTTTTTACTTTATAATTATAAAATTGTTATAATTAATTATTAAATTTTATTACTTTCGTTTATTATTTCCCTTATTATATTATTTATTTTTTCTCTTCTTAGTATTTTAGATATTTTTTACTCATCTTATTTCATAGTTTAAGTTTTAAATTTAACTATTTTCAAAAAATTAAATTAAACATTATTATTTTAATACATTGATGAAAAATTAAATGCATGTATTTAGAAGGTTGAGAGATACAGAGATAGAAATAGCTAGAGAATAAGAGAGATAAGGGATGGGAAAGAGACTTTAGAATATAGTTTATTGGGCATGTGAATGTGAGATGGATTAGGAGATGTTTTAGAAGGAAGTTTTAGGTGGGGGAGATAGTTTAGGAATAAGATGATTTAGATGATTGGAAATGAGAGAGAAAGAGAGAGAGAGAGAGAGAGATTTTAGGAAGATTTTCAAGGAGAAAGGGGAGTCTTTAATTGGTTGTTTCAAAAATGACATGGAATTAAAAATAAAAAATTCAAAAAAAAAGGAGAAAAAAGATAGACTCCCTTATTTTAGTATATGTGTGTGTGCACGCGCGCTTGAAACTATTGAAATAATGGAAATGTTTCCATTTGCATGAGAGAAGCATAAATGTTTACAATGAATTGGGACCATAGTTCCATTTTGGCCTTGGCATAAATACATGTTTTAACTTAAAAACTTCTGAAAAGAATTACTGTTGTGTTAGAAGAGAAGATTAGGAGATATTTATCAGAGAGAGAGAGAGAGAGAGAGAGAGAGAGAGAGAAGATTAGGAGAATAAATAATGGTAAGCTTGGCAAGAACATGTGATTTGTTAATATCCAAATTAACTTTATTATGTACATACAACCAATAGTCATATCTTATAAATGCAATAAAAGTTCATAAATATCATAGTTTAATGCTTATAATAACCTAGATACAGATTCCAGATTACTTCTCTTGACACTCTTGATGGAATTCCAAGTAGGCTAGAAATTGTCCATAAGTACTATGTATACAGTTTTTGGGTCATGGTTTGACATAATTTATCTTGTGTTTCTTTTTAATTATGTCTTTAGATTATTAAAAGATACTTGGCTGTATTAACTTAATGATGAACTGTGTGCGATGGTTACCAAACAAGTTAAGTTGCATCACTTAAAGAAAGGCCGAAGCCCTCCAGAAAAAACAAAGCATATAATCCACTCTAATCAGGCAGAAACCCCTCAATCTCTTGCTTCTTTCCAACAAGGATTATAGAGTTTTTTCCTCTACAGATGGACTGGCAAATTTCAAATGAGATGACTTCCAAAAAATGTACATACACACATATTGCCTTTCAACAGAAGAAGGCAATATGAGGATGTACAGAATAGACTGTTTGACCTATACAGTGAGAAGCTGTATAACTGTATCCCCCCCTCCCCACCTTCCAAAGAAGAAAAAAACAATAAAAGTTACAAATGCCCCATTGAAAACCCAAACAAAACACAGATAAAATAATCAGTATGACAGCTCCCCTAAACTCCTGGTAGACAACTATGAATTGCTAGATGCAACAGCAATCTTCATGATAAAAATACAGTGCTCGAATTAGCAACTGTACCCAATTCTTCAAATGGAATCACAGTTCGGGTATCCTTAACTTGCATGGCAAGGGATCTGATTCAAGAAGTAACTATCACAGTAGCGGCAACCTAGTCTCTAGGAACTACAAGAATACATTGCAATAGGAAAGTTCTCATTCAGAAATTGTACAGTTTTCATCTTTCTTGTTTATTATACATTTTCCTTGTACTAACCTCATTTAATTAATATAAATATTCCTTGGCCTCTCTCATCAACTAAGTGAGAGAGAGAGAGAGACCTCATTCAAATTCGAGCTCACATACTCCACTGATGCAAAATTTTCATCAAATATTCTTCTATTACATTCCTTCCACACCACTTAATAGAGTGCCCCTGGAATAGAGCTCCATAAAAGGCATCCCTTGCTACATAAACCTTTCAAATGCCATCCAACTACGCCAACTTACATTGATTATTTTAAGAAAGTTTCCCCAAAGGCTAGCACTAAACTGGCTTGTTACAAACAGATGATTTGCATCCTCTGGAGCATAAGCAAAAAAACGCAAGCAGGGATAAATGGTCCAGACACCTACACAGTAGTTTATCATGTGTTTGAAACCCGACTAATATGGCAGTCCACATAAAGAAAGTCATCTTTGAAGGGATTGAGGTTTCTCACATCTCTTTAACTGGAAAGGAATTATTTTCATCCCAGCTCAGATGAGCAGCAAAGAATTTAACAGAGAAATAACCCTAGCTGTCCCATTCCCACTGCCTAGCCTGCCTTGTATCAAGTAAATGCATCATACATCCATGTTAGAAGTTATATTATCTTAAAACACTAAGGGTCAGTTTGGAAGGAGTACAAATACAAATATGTACAGTGCAAATATATACAAAATAGAAGGTTTCGTACTCTACATATTTGTATTTGTACTCTTTCCAAACTGATACTAAATGAATAAAAGTCAGAGTTGGAATCCAACCTCACATTTCTTTGTGAAGTATGTGGCCTACAAGTCGCACTCTGATATCCACTTTCTTCTTTTCAGGAATTTGTGCTGCCTGAACTATATTCATTTATTTTCATGGTTGTGCTTGGTGAACTGGCTTTTCTTGCACAGGTACAAGTCTAATACTCGTCCATTATATGTTAGTGTTTTATATCCAGTATTTGATTCAGTATCAAATGTCACTGAAGAGTTGAGACCTTGTTGATGTGTCTGCTTGATTGAAGGTACTTTTAGCACGTGCACTTCAACTTGAGAAAACTAGCAAAGTTACAAACATCCAGTACATCGAGGTATACTTTAAATTAACCTATTCCTTTTGAGTGGGTTTTTGTAGCAGAAAGTAGGAAAAAAAGCGTTATTGTTTGCATAAATATTCTTTTCTTGTATTTTCCCTTTTCTAAAAGATTTTTCATCACGTCATAGCAACAATATATGACGGTGTCTCTATAATTCACTTTGTTTTCCCTCTTGATTTCACTTTATTTTTTTAGTGAATTCTTAAAGAACTGTATCATTGTGACTTTCTATATTTCAGGTCTTTCTATCACAGATTTGGGGCATTGGTTTATCATGGGTAGCTCCCTCTTTTGGTAGACTTGCTGGGTGTTTGCTTATCTTTATTTCAGTGGGTAGCACCATGTTTTTTGGACCTGAGCAAGAGAATGAATGAAGGTTTCCATACACTCCAGTATAATAGCATGCATCCAATATGGTGGACTTAATTTTTTTTGTTGTATCAAATGGCTTAAGCTTCCATATTCCTGTAAGATGTTGCTAATTTATGCTGGCAGCAGAAGCCTCTTTAAGAAGTGTTTACTGATTCTTTTTGTCAAGGTAACATGAAATACTACTCTGCTTCTTCTTATGAGAACATTTATATTCTAGATAATAGAAATTGGAACCTGGCAATCTTTTTGCTATGAAATTTCTTAGAATATATGGCTGAAAACTTACAAAGATGATTTAAGAAACATTGTCTAATATGCAACTTAAGCTTATTTCCATTTAGCAAATTTTGTGTGCATCATTGCTATACTATAGAATGTCAAACCACTTCGAGATACTGGCCAATGCCAACCCTGATATGTAAAGAATTCTTCTTTTGCAGGATTCAGTTGTTTTTGACAATGATGTGATTAGGAATTGTTGAACAAATTTACAACTGAGTTGCTGCTAAGGATCGCTATCTAACAAAGCTCTTGCTGTAGACTAACGGGGCAAGGTCTATGTTCCTAGTCCTCTCTCTCTCTCTCTAGCCTCCTGCAATTATCTAGTGCATTACCAAAATATGGTTTGATGATCATGTAAGAATTTCAAGGCAGCATTTTTAGTCTTTGTTTATGAAGGCCTTCTGAAGTAAAGGGACTCATTTAATTTTCGACTGCTGAAAGATCAAAAGTTTTAAATGCTATCTACAAGGTTCTTGTGTTATCTCTCCAGACTTGTAAGGTTGAAGCATGGAAAAGATTAATTTGAATAAGAGTTTAGCTCACCCATAGACGAGGTAAATGACCATGGAAGATTACATCTAACCCTTTCTGGTGAGTTTTCAAGCGTTTCTTTTGACTTCCGCTGCTACCCATAACCTAATTCGTAGTTCATCCCAACCTCTGGCTGTCCAACTGATGAATCAGTCTCTCTAGAACTTATGTTGTACCATGTTATTTCGCCCCACATTTGATACCCTACCATGTGATTAGAAGAGATGGATATGATATCTGTTCTGTATAACGGTCTCCTACGACATACATCAGCCTGTTAATAGAAAATTCACCACCCAAATTATCCCTGGTTTCCCGAATGTCCAGGAAAATCCCCACTCAGGATTTCCTATTCACTTTTCCTACCCACTTTCTATCCGCCGTGAATTGTAGCCAAACATCTCTATTATAAATTGAGAGATGCGTGACTCCAATTCACTGCAGGTAGAGAGTGGGTAGGAAAAGTGAGTAGGAAATCAGGGCTCTATGATCCCTGGTCAAACAACATTGTAGCCACTTTACTATCTCCATTGACTATAGGATGAAAGTTGAAGCTTCACAAAGGGGTAATGAGATGGGTTGGAATTTGTAAACCAGCGCAACAGATGTAATTCTTTCTATCAATTCTCAAAATCCATAGCCCTTGTACTATTGCTCACCATAGAAGCTCTGGTAGCAAATCCTATGGTTCCAAACGGGTTGAGCACCTAAAGCTCTTTTTTAAAGGTATAACAAATGAAGATTGAAGGGCACCTTTCTTCTTGAATATAGGGGTGTAAACGGATCGAATTTGAATTGGATCAGGTAATATCCAAATTCGAATCCGATTAGAAATCTGATATCCGAATTCGATTTGATATTTGTCGAATATTGAAAATTAATATCTGAATTCGAATCCGATTAAATATTCGAATATTCGATTTATTAGTTAATTATTTTAGATAATTAATAAATATTTTATTGATATAAAGTATATAAATATATAAATTATTTATATATATAAATTATATAAAATATTTTATATATTATATATAAGAATTAAATAATCAGTCGAATTCGGATATTTATCAAATCGAATCAAGTTATATCCGAATTCGATTCGATTATGTCGAATATCGAATTTGAAATCAGATTTTTAAATACCATTGACACCCCTACTTGAATACTCCCCAGATCCGAGACATTCCCTTCTAGGCTTTTACAAATACCATACTCAAAAGCTTGAAAAGAACTGAATTTGTCTAAAATCACCATGAGGAAGTAAATTGTAAGGCTTAGCTTGGAAAGAGTACAAATACAATTATGTACAGTGCAAATACATATAAAATGATACAAAATATAAGGTTACACTACAAATTTGTATTTGTAGTTTTGTACTCTTCCAAACTGAGCCTAAGGCTTTGGTTGCAATGCAATTTTATTTGCACTAATGCAAGTGCATAAAAGTGCAAATGAAAAAAATGCAAAATTCTTGTTTATTGTTTGGACTTTTACATTATTCTAGCTCATGTCTTAATTCACTTCATTTGTACTGCAATCAAACAAAATAAGATAAATTTTGAAATAAGTCAAAATTTACACTCAAATCATTTGCACTATCAAAATACAAATTTATTTGCATTACAACCGATGGAGGACGATTTGGCCTAACCTACAAAACAATGACACGTGAACCTGACTCAGCACGAGCCGCAGCTCAGCATCATAGCCTGATAATAGTTAAGTAATTGGCCTATAAAGCTGCTCGCTATATCACAGCTCGCCAAAGAAGGAGCTCGTTACAACACAAGCTCTGGGTTCCCCGAGCTACCCCAAAGGGGATATCCCGATGCCACCTTAGCTCGCGAGCTAGGGAAACCAGCTTGCTCAAGCCCCTAAGCAGATAAGTCATTGGAAGGGCAACCCTCAAGTATTCCTAAGCTCGCTACAAAATAGCTTGCAAGTGAACAGCGAAGCGTTCCTCAGGAAGATTCTATCTGACAGACTGTGCCACGTCCCTTGTTGGACGGTGCAGTCCCTGTCCTTTCAACAGTCTGCACCCACATCTCTCAGCAGGCGGAGGCGTGCCGGCCCTTTGGAGACGTGTCACCCATCCGAGCAAGAGGTATGTTGCAACGGCCACCTGCGCAGCCCTGGCAGGTAACGGCTGCGGCAGGGACTCAATGGAGGTTACGCCCGATCTGACAAGAACACCCCTATAAAAGCCCTTGAGGCAGAAGGGGAAGGGATCTTCAGACTTTTTGAATACTTTCACACTCTCACACTCTCACGCTCTAACTAAGTACACCTTTGCTCGCGAGCTAACCTCTCGAGCACAATGATAAAGCGCGACCTACACTCTTAGCTTTTGCACTGTTTTTTCCTCTTTCCCTTACGTTCTGACTTAAGCATCGGAGTATTTCCATCGGGTAAACCCCCGAGAATCCTTCTTTTCCATCTTCTAAGGTGTCATCCGTTGCCAGCAAGGAGCCAATCCCTAGCCAGCTAGGAGTGCCTGGATCGTGCCGCATCATTTGGCGTCGTTTGTGGAAAACGTTTCTAAAAGCCTTCCTCTGAGCTTTCATAGTTCCTTCTTTTCTGAAAACTCAGCATTCATGGATTCTTCAAGCAATGCTAGACGTAGCATGGAGATGGGCATTGCTAGGGAACAACTCCAGGCCCCCGTGGTCTGCGTTGGGCAGTTCACCATTCCCCTTTCGGTGGACGGAGTCCCTAGCCTGAACGTGCCACGAGCACTGGCGCCTGTGAGTGTTCCCCTTCCCCCCTCTGTTGAGACAACCTTTGCTGAACCAATTGTTGTCCCTCTGACGACAAGCCAGAGCCAACTCGACAACCTGGTGTAGTCCATGCGGGCCATGCAAGCCCAGATGCAGCAGTTTCAACAATTACAACTCTACCAATAGCAGGTGCTGCACCAAGTCTCTCAGTATCACTATCAGCAGCAATTCCCTCAGCTGCCTCAGTCTCAGCTCCCTCCTCGGCACCCAGCCTCGCGACAAGCCAGGTCTCGCCGTCAGGATAAACGCCCTTCTCGCCAGAAAGAGGCTTCCCATAACCCCCCTAAGAGCCAAGCCTCCTCCTGCGGCAGAAAGGAAAGACCAGCCACTCCGGTCTCGCCGCGGGTAGTCAGGTCGGGAGGACCCCAACTCGCCAGGTCTACATGACCCCAGCAATCAAAGTTTGAAGCCCCACTTCTAGAGAGCTGGATCGAGATCCTGGCTGCAGACTCTAAGTAGAACCCCTCTGTCCGCAGCCATCACCAGTAGCCCGAGCTGCTTCCTGCACAAACTGTTCCTGACAGTACAGAGGTGAGCAGCACAAATGCGGAGCCCGTCAAGAAACAAAGACGCCGCTGCCGAGCTCGCTGAACTACCACCCACAACCTGCCCGAGCTCAGAGGCAGGGAAGAGGTACGCTCGGGTGAAGTTAAAGCTCCCCTCCTTTCTGTTCCATCCCCCCTCTCTCCCGAGCTCCTGGCTATCCCAATGCCCAAGGACTTCAAGCTCCCCCGCTCTTGATAAGTATGATAGGTCGTTCGACCCAAATGACCATGTAGATGCTTTCCAGTCACAGATGCACCTGGCCAGGGCCAATGAGTCTTGCATGTGTGTGGCCTTCTCCACCACTTTCAGAGGAGCGGCCCACACGTGGTATCGGAACCTTGCACCCGGATCTATAAGAAGTTGGGCACAATTCACGCAAGCCTTCACGTCCCACTTCATCACCAGCAAGCGGTGCCCGCCAACTGAGGAAAGCCTTCTCAGCATAGTACAGAGAGAGGGAGAGTCCATCCGGGGCAACATCAAGCGATTCAACGATGTGTGCATGCAGATACCGTGCCTGGACCTGCAGTGCGCCTTGCAGCAGCCAAGAAGGGCATGATGCACAAGGAATTCAAGTGGCACATGGTTGTCAACCAGCTGGTGACCATAATTGAATTCCTTAAGCTTGTAGACAAGTTCATAGCCACGGAAGAGGAGATTAACCAGAAGGGCGAAAGCGCGCCCGAAAAGAGAAAGAGAGAAGGGGAACCTTCCAGCCAAGGAGACAGCCGAAAGAAGAAAGAGTTAGCTCGGGGGGCAAAGCCGAGTCAGCCATTCCGAACCCCTGTAGCGGACCGGACTGACTACACCCCACTGAATGCTAAGCGGGCCGAAATCCTAATGGCAATTAAGGATGCCCCGTATGTGAAGTGGCCACCCGCTTGAGGGGGAATCCTAATGAAAGGAATAAAAATTTATATTGTAGTTTTCACAGAGACCACGGTCATAGCATCGAGAACTGTAAGAATCTCCACGACGAGATAGAGGAACTCATTCATCGCGGATATCTAAGGAATTTTGTACAAAATAATAATAATAATAATAATAATAATAATAATAATAATAATAATAATAATAAAGCAGGTCGACAAGGGGAGCACGGTAAGGATTCTCCCGAGTCCAGCAACAGGCCGGCAAAGCAGTCACAGAGGCAGCCTCCGAAAGAGAGGCCAGTTCGAGGCACCATCCACATGATAGTTGGAGGCTCGATTGTTGCAGGCTGTACCTCGGTGGCAGCTCGGATGTCAGTTCGCGAAGCTGCCAGAAAAGAGCAGAATCCTCCTAAGCGGCTGAAGACAGAGGAACTGATCTTCTTCACGGAGGACGATGCGTGCGGGGTCCACTACCCCCACGATGATGCACTCGTCATAAAAGTAAGGATCAACAATTTCGAGGTCAGGCGCATCCTCGTTGACTCAGGTAGCTCGACAGATATCCTCTTCAAGGCCGCGTTCGACCAGCTTCAGTTGCAAGGAAGTGACTTGAGGCCTACGAATACTCCCATGGTAGGATGCAGCGGAGAAGAAGTCAAGCCCCTCAGGAAAATAACAGTACCTGTGGAAGTCGGCACATGGCCCAGCGTAGTAAGACTCAACCATGACTTCTTAGTGGTCGCGACCCCTCCCCGTACAATGCCATAATAGGTCGGTCAATCACCCATGTCCTATGGGCAGTGGTCTCCACTTATC